TAAATCCACTAAATAAACTTATTAATATATAAACTACTATTTTAAAAATGCCCGTTAATAAGTCTACCCCTCTCGGGCTAAGTACCCTTGGCTAGCTCGACGCTATAACTATTATAACTAATATAAATACGCCCGAGGATTAGTAAAGTACTTTTTAATAATATAGAATTTAGCTAAGTAATAATATAAATATTATAAATAGCTAGGTTAATATAAATATTAAGATTTAGTATATTAATATTAATTTAAAATTATATTTTATAAAGCTAGAAATCTTTTTAATACGGGCTATATTATAAATATAAAAGAATATATAAAAGGCCCCTTAATTTTTAATAAGAAGGAGTATATAATACGGGATTTAGCTATTTATATAAGTTAGTATTAAGAGGTCTTATATATATTAAAATAAGTATAGCTCGCTTTTTAAATAAGCGGGGAAAAGTTGGGAGTTTTAATTAATAATTAAGTATAGAGCGCAATATACTTAGTTTTGTTTAATATATAATATATAGTACGGCCTTAGTAAATTGCTTTATTAAGGGGATATAAAAGAATATATAAAGGGCCCTTTAATTCTTAATAAAAAGAAGTATATAATATAAGATTTAGCTACTTATATAACTTAGTATTAAGAAGTTTTATATATATTAAAATAAGTATAGCTTATTTTTTAAATAAGTAATAAAAAATCGGGAGCTATTAATAAAAAAGAAATAATTGTTAAGTTAATTAACTATTATTTTAATTAATAATTAGGTATAAAGCGTAATATACTTAGTTCTTTTTTTAATATATAATATATAATATCCCTTTAGGGTCCGGTTCGCCTTATTAGGGGCTATCTTTGCCTTTATAGGTAAGCTAGTCTATTAGGGTTAATATTAGGTGTTTTTATTACGTACTTTAATAAAACTTTATAACTAACTATAGCCGGCCGCAGCCGTTACTAAGTAGTATATTAATCGCCCTCCGAATAGCCAAAAACTACCCCCTACTTTTTACTTTTTCTAATAATACTAGATTTTTCTTTTTAATCCTTCCTAATTTACTCTTATATAGCAATTTTAAAGTATTAATAATACTTAGGAGTTAATTAGGTATTTTAAGGCTATTATATTATATTAGTTACGTATTAATAAGAGTAATACTTATATTAATATATATATTTCGGATTTTTAAATTAATAATATTTAATCCATATTCCTTAAGACGACCTTATTATAGTTCGGGGTCCTTTAATATAATATTTATAAGATCGAACTTCTAGCCCTTAAAATATTTTTATAGATTAATAAGTTAGCGTCTTAGTATTTTAATAATATATATTTAAAATAAATAATTTAATAATAATAATAATAATAATAATAATAATAATAATAATAATAATATAATAATAATAATAATAATAATAATAATAATAATAATAATAATAATAATAATAATAATAATAATAATAATAATAATAATAATAATAATAATAATAATAATAATAATAATAATAAATAGTAAAAGAAGTAGCGTTTTTCGATTTTAATAAAAGAAATAAAGTAATAAATATATATATATATATATATATATAAATTAAAGTTAAAAGCATAATAGATATTAATAAGATCGGTATTATACTTAATAATAATAACAAGGATATCTCTAATACTATATTATTATAAGCTATTATTACTTAGAGAGTAGTAAACTTAGCTAAGTAAGTAGCTTATAAAGTAGTAATATTATACTTAATATTATTATTAATCCGTAATTATAAACTTTATAAAAAGGAAAGTTTAAAAAAGTAGAAAATCTAAAAAAAAAAAAATTTAATAAGATAATAGGAGTATTTATATTACGGCTAGCTAGTTATAATAAGTATATTCCCCCCGACGGAGCAATTTGCCGGGGCCGTACTGTATATTACGTATTAAAGAAAACTAAGTATATTACGCTCTATACCTAACTACTAATTAAAATAGCTCTTAACCTTCTACTATAGTCCTCTTAAGTTCTAATTATTTATAGGATAAGCTTTACTTATTCTAATATATATAAGACCTCTTAATACTAGCCTATATAAGTAGCTAGGTCTAGTATAATCTATTCTTTTATATAAGTATTATTATTACCTAGGGGGTCCTATAAGAACTATTTAAAGTATTAGCTTATTATCTTAACCCTATATACCTCTAGCCCGTTTATTATAGCTATTATAACTAAGCTAGTATTAATATATTAAATCTTAATATCCGTATTAGCCTAGCTATTTATAATACTTATAATATTACTTAGTTAAATTCCGTATTATTAAAAAGTACTTTATTACTTTTTAAGCGTACTTATATTAGTTACGATAGCTATAGCGTCGAGCTAGCCAAGGGCGCTTAGCCTAAGAGGGGTAAACTTATTAATAAGTATCTTTAAGTTCTTATTAAAGTAGTATTTTAACTAGCTAACTTCTTAACTAATTATCTAACTAGCTATCTAAGTAGTAGTTTATATATTAATAAGTTTATTTAGTAAATTTATTTAGTTTAAATAGAGAGTAGTTTTAAATAATATTAAAAATAATAAAAATAGAAAGAATTTTTATAAGCTTTAAAGAGTAGTAAATATTAGCCTATTTTACCCTTTTTCTAAAAACCTCTATATTATTATTAAAATTTAGAACCTCTATAATTAAGGGCCGCCTCTAACTATTATAGCTAACTATAATAGCTAACTATTATAGCTAACTATTACGGCCGACTTCTATTATTAACCTTTTTAATTAGCGCCGCTACGTAATAAAAAGGGTAGCTTACTTATCCTAAATTAAATATTAATTTTTAAATTAAAATTATTATATTATATTAAGCGCGTACTTAGGATATATTATGCGTATTATATAATTAAAAAGTATACTATATTGTATAATTTCCCTTAAAAACGTAATCCCGTTAAGGTCGATCTTTTATACCTATAAAGCCGGAAAAAAAACCACTATATAATAAGTATATTAGTAAAAGTTAAGGCTATAAATACTTAATAAATAGTATTATAATTATAAATAACTTCTCTAAAACTATATTTATAAGTTATAAAATAAATAAGGCTTTAATAATTAATTATAGTCTTATTAAAAAAGGTTCTTAATAAAAATAACTAAAAGCGATTATAAAATTTAATATTAAGTTAATTATTAAAAAAGTTATAAAAAGTCTATTTTTAAGCCTAGTTTAAGTTTATACTATATATAAGTCTCGTTTTTAAATATATCCTTTATAATATTTTTATTTATTATTATCTAACTATTTACTAAACGGTCGTCCGTTTTACTTATTTTTAATTATCTATTTTATTTATTTATAAGTATCCGTTCTTTATTTTATTATATAATCGTAGTTACGTAACTTATTTATAATTCTTTTATCTTAAGAGGAGTTATTTTAAGTTTATATTTTTATATATATAGTATAATAGCTATTATAAATCCTATAGGGCGAGGCCCTAGCCTTATGATATATATTAAGTTATAATATTAGCTTTTCTTTTTAAAAATCTAGTCCTCTAGACCTATAAATAGGTCGTTTATTCCTAAATTAGGGAATTATTAAGAGTTTTTTTAAAATATATTAATATAATATTAAGTCGAATTAAAAAATTAAAATTTTTAATAGCTATGTTTCGTTATAAATTATCATATATTATTTATTTTTTTAATAAAAATATAAAAATAATACTTTATTTAAATTATTACTCGCGAAGTATTTATTATTTAGTTTTTTTTAATTCTAAGGTTTACGGAATATACTATTATTTAGGTATTTTATATAATACGTTTATTAACGTTATTTATATTTATAAATATTATATTTTTATTTTATTAAGTTTTAACTAATTAAGTATAGTTAGTTAGTTAATAACGGAGTTTAATTATTTTAATTATAAAAAAGAAATAAAAGAGTTATAGTTTTAAAAAAAAGTTACGGAGTTATAAAAAAAGGCTAAGGCTTATTAATAAGCTTAGGCTAAGTTAAATAAGTTATTATTTAAGTTAGAATATTTTTATTTTTAAAAATAAATAATATTTAAAAAAAGTCGAATTATATTAGAGGAGTTTCCTAAAGATTCTAAAAATACTTCTTTAGTAGCTTATAAAGTATAAGTTAATAATACTTTTAAAATTATTAATTAGGATACTATAATAACTAGGAGTTCTAAGTTTAATTTTAGTTTTAATACTCCTTAAAAAGTTATAAAAAGTTCTAGAACTTCGTAATAAGTTCTTATATATTTTTTTTATATCCGTAGTTTTTCTATTTAATAAAGTATTCCTTTTTATTATTTTTTATTTTATAATTAATAATTTATTTAACTTTATATTTTAATTAGTTTAGTTTAATAATAATATAATTTTTTATATATAAACTTCTTAGTATAAGCTTAAGTAATAAAACGTAAAAAACGGGGTAGTATCGTATTATATTTAGTAATTTTAATTCGTAATTAATTAATAAGACTTTTTTAATAATTTTAAAAAATCTAAGTTTTTTATAATCTAATTTATTACTTAGTCGTTTCGTTTTAATATTATAATAAAAGAGATAAGTACTATCCCCCTTTTTTAAAAATAGTTTTTTAATTTTTAATTTATCTACGTTCTTTTTTATATATTATTATATAAACTCGAAGTTTAATAAGGCTTATTTATAAATTTTTTTAAGCTTATTTATATTTATTATAGTTTTTATAACTTATAGTCCTTATTATATTTCTCTATATATTATTAACTAAAATCTATAATTAAAATAAAATAGAAATTCTCTTATACTTTTACTAACTATATTATTATATATAAACTAAGTTATTAATAAAAATACTACTTAATTATCCTAATTATAATTTATATAATAATAAAGGTATATTTTGAGGATCTAGTTAATCCTTTTTATTTATTTATTAATTTATAAATAAAATAATATTAATAATCTATAGTTTATACTAAGTTATAAAATTAGAGATTTTTAAAACTTTAAAATAAATAGTTTATTTTTATTAAAAATAATTTTTTTTAGTAAACCGTAATTCGAAAATATAACCTTAGTAAATATATATACTAAGTTTTTTATAATATTAAATTTTTTATAAAAAATAAAATAAGCGAACTTAATAAGTTAGTTAACTATAACTAAAATATTATTATATTATACTTTAGTAAATAGTTCTCTAGACTTTAGTAGTTTAATAATAAAGTCCTATATAATTAATTATTATATTTTTATTAGTAATTATAATAATTATAGCTCGCTATAAGGTTTATATAAGCTATTTTTATTTTTTTATAAGTTACATAGTCCTTAATTATTTTTATAATTTTAGCGTATATAATAGATTTATTATAATATTAATAAATCCGTTTTTATATTTTAATAACTCTTTAGTAACCGTATATTAGTATATTATAAATTTTTATAATAAGCTTAGGGATTATTTTTTAAATTAAGCTAGTATTAATCTCTTTAATTATTATAAAAAGTTTTATAATTAGTATAAAGCTACCGTTTTTCTCTTATTTAAAAATAATTTATATTTTTTTAGGGACCGCAACTTCGTAATTAGGTCTTTTATTAAGAGCGTTTATTTTACTATTTTTTAAACCTTTTTAATAAATAATTCGGAAATTAAATTTAGATAGGAATTCGCTCTATTTAACTTATTATTTATTTAAATTTTTATTTATTATAAAATTTATAAAGTTCTTATAGTTTATATAAACTATAACTTCGTACTTAGTTCTAAATAATTATAGTTTTTATTCTTAAAATATTTTAATAATTATTATTAGTTCTTTATTATAGATTTATTAATTTAATTCTACTTCGTAAAATACTTTAAAATAAAAGTAATATAAATAAAGTTTTTTTTATTTATCTCGTTATCCTAGGACTACTTTTATAATAAAGTTTAAAACGTTAGTTTCGATTTTAAAAAGTTTTTAAAAATCTAGGATTATAATAACTAGTTTAAAAACGACTATATTCTTAATTTTAATAAATACTTCCTTATACTTAAGATCCTAAACGAATAGAGTATCCTTATATATTAAGTTATTAAAAAGTTTAATTATATTAATATAATTCTTAAAAAATTATTAATAAAAGTTAATAAATCCTAAAAATCCTTATATATCTTTAACGTTTTATAATATAAGCTAATCCCTAATTATTTTTATTTTTAATACTTATATATAAATTTATTTTAATATAATAGTATATTTTAAAAAGTTTATTTTTTATATATAGAACTCGTACTTAAAGGGTTTAGTATATAGTTTAGTATTTTAGAGTTTTTAAAATATTATATAAATATATTTTTTATATATTTTAAAATTAGGGGAAAAAATAAGAATATTATTAATATAAATAATAATAAAAATATTAACGTATTTTTAGAATATATAATTAACTATTATTTAAAAAGTTATTAGAGTATTAATAAGTCTAAAGAGTATAACGAAGTATTTAAAAAGTCTTTTACGAGTTCGGAATACTATTTTTTATTTATCTCTTTTTTTAATTCGAATTTAGTTAAATATTTTTTTAAAATCTATAATAATAAACTAGTTAGTTTTATAAAATAGATTTCTAAGCTTAATAATAAATAATAAAGGATAGTAATTCTTTTTTATAATTTTATTAAGTTTTTTATAGTTAATAACTAATTTTTGTTTTTTTATTCCTTTTTTTAATATAAAAAATAAGGGTAATTTTATAAAAGAATTTAATAATTAAATAAGTCCTTTTTCGAGTTTTTTATTAATATATTCGTTAAAATATTCTTATTCTTCTTAATTTATTAAGTATATTAAAAAAAACCTAGGTTATGTTCCTTTCTTAAGTTCGATCTTTATATCTTAATTACTATATTTTAATAATCCTATTTCTTTAGGTTTTATAAATAGTTTTATATATATTTAATACTCCTCGGGTATAATTTAGAATTATTTTAATCTTTAATTATTAGTACTAATTATAAACTTCTTAAAGCTTTTTACTATTTTAATAAAAGCTATATATTATATTTATTCTCGTTCTTTAAGAATTATTAAAAATCTGTTTAAACTCTTTTTTTTTTTAAATTATTTAATAATTAGATTTTCTTAAAGGACCTAGTTAGTAATTTAATTTATTTATAAATTATACTTTCGTAACTACGAAATTCCTAAGATAATATTAATATCTCTAATTTTTATAATATTATATTATAACTATTTTTATTAATTATTAATATATATTAAGAGGTATACGGTTTCTTAATTAATATATTTATAGTTATAATTAACTTATTTTTTTTTTAGTATTTATAGTTAATATAGATTATTCTTTTATATTTATAATAAGTTAAGTTTATTTACTATTCTTAGTAAAATATAAGTTTTTTATACGTTATTATTAATAATAGTATTTAATTTTTATTTATAAATATTAAAGTTAATTCGTAAGTATATATCGTTACGTTATTTAATTATATATAAGAACTTTTTTTCTATTTTTACTTTTTATTATTTTTTTATAATTAGCTTTTTTAGTTTTTTAATATACGCTTTTTTTATTAAGCGCCTTATTTACGTAGTTCTTATTATTCTTTCTAAGCTTTAGCTTTTTTAATATAATAAACTTAATATTAGTTATATCTATAATCTTCTTATTTTATATATTTATTATTAAAGTATTTTATAAAAAAGCTAGGGTTTAGGCTAAATATTACCTTATTATTACTATTAAAACTTAATAGTATCTAACTAAGTAATTAGTTTTTTATATAAATATCTTTAATAAGTTTATTATTACGTTTTTATAAATAGAAATAGCTATTTTGTTTATATACGAGGTATTAAAAATACTTATTATCTAAATACTCTATTTAAAATAATTATTTATAAAAAGGGTCCGTAGGGTTAAGTAGAGAATAGTTTTCGTTCATATAAGGGGTTATTATAACTTTTTTATATTTTCTAGTTCTATAGAACTAAATAGTTTAGTTATTTTTAAATAAATAAATATATTTATATTATAGTTCGTTATTTTTTTTTTTAAAGTTAGTATTATTAATACTAAGTAATATTTTATAATCGATTTTTATTTAAATATATTATTAAATAATATTACGAGGTTTATCTAAATTATAAGGTAATTTTATTTTATTAAAGTAAAAAGAACTAGTTCTTATATTAATATTTTCTTTTTTTTTAAAATTAAAGTTAATTTTTTGTTTTTTATAATTCTAAAATTAAGAATTAGTTTCTTAAGTATTTTAATTTTATCTTTATATAAAAGGTCTTCGAGCTATTCTTTAATTTTATAAATAGATTTTTTATTACTATTTACTTTTTATATTATATAAATAGATTTAGTTAAGATTCTATTTAAATCGAGTCCTTTTTTAAATTTAGTAAATTACTTTTAGTTTATATTATTTTATTATATTATATAAACGAGGCTATTTATAATTTTTTAAGTATTAGGTCCTTTTTTTTTAAATTTAAAGAGTTATTTTTTTTATATTAACTAAGAATCTTTACTTAATTCGTTTTTTAAAAAAGTAAAGTATATCTCTTATAATAGGGTCTATTTTAGTTTTTTTTTTATATTTTTATAAATCTAAGAGAGCGTAATAATATATTTAATATTATTTTTTTTAAAAAATATAGGGTTAATAAGTAAGTATTTTTTTTTGTTATTATTATTAGGGTTTTAATAAGAGGTAAAGTAATATTATACCCAAATTGTCCGCTATTATTAAGTTATTTTAAGTACTATCCTATTTATTTTTTACTATTTTAATAAATAAGGTAATCGTTATTATAATAAGCTATTTATAAAAGTTATTTATAAAGAACTTCTTTATTAGTAATATTAGCTCGTTTTTTTAAAATAAGTTAGTATTAAATACGCTTAAGTTATTAGTAATTTCTAGCTATATATCCTAGCTTATTATAGTTATAATACTTAAAGTCTTTTTTTTATTATAGTTTTTTACGTTTAGTAATATTAAGGTCTATAGGTCCTCCGTATTATTTATAAATAGTATTTTATTAATTATTATTTTAATTATTATAGGGTTATTAGTTTATTTAGAAACTACGCTAGGGTTACTATTAGTATTTACGTTCTAAGTTAGGTTCTTATTTATTTATTTTTTTTCTTTTATAAAGTCGGTTATTAAGCTTAATAATAAGCTTGCTATATTAGAAAAAGTTATTAGGTTTATTAAATTAAATTAGTTCGTCCTTAACTTTATTTTTTAATTTTTAGTAAAATATAAATATTTTAATATTATTTATAAAGTCTAGCTAAATACTAAGACGTTTAAACTTAATAAAATATTCTTTTACTAACTTAGTTTATTATAGCTATATAAGGTTATATTTAGCTTATTATTTCTTATTAAAATCTTAAAATAAGGATCTAAAAGCTTTTTTAAACTTATTAAAGCTATAGTAAATATTACGTACTTTAGTAAAGTATTTATTAAACGTTTCCTTATTAAGGTATTTTTTTTAAATTAGTTTAAACTATTTAAAAGCTCGTCCTATAAAAAAGTTAATAATATATATAACTTTTTTAATTTTATTAATAAAATCCCCGTAATAGAAGTTCTAATAGTTCTTAACTTAGATTAGAAATCTTTTAAGGGTCCTTAGGGTACTATTATAAGTAATTAGTATATTAAACTTAAGTTTTTATTATCTTTTTTAAAAAAGAGTAATAATAATATTAGTAGCTTTTTAAAGCGTATTAACTTACTAAGTTAAGTATTTAACCTCTTTAATTTTAATTTTTAAATAGCTTATAGTTTTGTTAAATATAGCTTATATTTAAGTAATAATTTTATCGTTTTTTTTAAAGCGTTTTTATATAGTAATATAGATTTTTTAGGGTAAAATTAAGTTCTTTTTTAGAGTTTTTAGTATTTTTTATTTTTTTATTTAAGCTTTTAAGGGGGGTAAGTCTTTTACTCTTAGGGCTAGTTAAGGAGATAAATAGAGTTATTTTAGAAAATATTATTCGTACTATTTAGTTAGTTTTTACAAAATAAACTTATTAAATAGGAGTAATTAAAGTATTATAATTAGTTAGTTATAATAAGTATTTTAATAAAAGTTAAGGCTACG